GGGGGGGAGACCCCGGAGCAGCCCACCAGTGGACTGCAAAGCACCCCTGCCCCCACACTGTTGCGTGCTGGGCCAGAAGTCATTACAAAGCTTATTTATCTCTGAAGGTCACCAGAAGAGGGTAAGATTTGCAAGTAATGCCCATATTTTCCACCCATATTTTTACCAAAATTTTTTCTTTTAAATGTTTGTTTTTGAGACAAAAAGTGTGTACGTGCACACGAGGGGGTGGAGGAGGAAGGGCAGAGAGAGACAGGGACAGAGGATCCAAAGCAGGCTCTACACTTACAGCAGCGAGCCCAACATGGGCCCGAACCCGTGAACCACGAGATCACGACCCTAGCTGAAGTCAGAGGCTCAATGATGGAGCCACCCAGGCGCCCTTGAACTTGGAAGATTATATGACATGCAAGCTTTTTTAAAAGAACATCTTTCTAGAAGTTTCACAGTACCTGGTTCCAGTCCCCTGAAAGTTACACCTAAAGATCATAAAAAGACACGGAAGAGCCTTTTTTTTGGGGGTGGGGGGGGGCTTAAATGCACATTACTAAGCAAGAGAAGCCAGGCAGCAAAGGCCACACACTGGATTCCAACTCTGTGACATTCTGGAAAAGGCAGAACTATGCATACAGCATAAGGTCAGTTGCTGCCAGGTGCTATCGGGGAAGGAAGGGTGAGTCCAGGAAGCAGAGCGTGCGGAAGGCAGTGAAACTCCTTGGCAGGATACTACACAGGGCACACATGACCTTGTCCACTTGTTAAAACCACCATGAGGGAGCCCTAGTGTACACAGTGGGCTTTTGTTAACAGCAACAGATCTGTACTGGATCATCAGTTATAACAAATGCACCACACTAATTAATGCAAGACATTCATGATGAAGGAAACTCTGTGTGTATGTGTGTGTGTGTGTGTGTGTGTGCGCGCGCACGCGCGTGTGTGTACAGGGGAGAATGGGGACTCTCCGTACTATTTGCTTCATTTTCTGAAAAGCTAAAACTGCTAAAATACAAAGTGTATTAATTTTTTTTAAGTAACAAAACATAACCTTATCCTCCTTTCTGAAAAACAAATTAGCATCCTTTGAAATTTGCATTCTTTGAAACATCAGGTTCCCACCATGCCTTCCAAAGGTGACAAGCGAGCACAAGGCGGGAGCTGGTACCCCCAAGGGTACCACACTCCTGTGGGCCTCGGGGATCCACCTGCACAAGGACGGGAAGATGCAGAGTTGGACAGGACCCCCGGGTCTGCTCTGCTCAGGGTTCAAGAGGCAGCCCCAACATCAGAGGCTCCCACACTTCTGGACCAAATGAACTCTTGGAAGTACAAAATGTGTTGATGCCTCCTACTACCCTGAGTGACCCTGTATCAGTGTCCTGGGGCAGCCACATCAAATGACCACAAACCGGGCAGCTTCAAACAACAGGAATGTATTCCGGCCAGCAAGGGTAAGCTCTTCCTGAGATTCCAAGGGAGGCTCCCTCCTGCCTCGTCCAGCTCCTGGTGGCCCCGACTGCATCTTTCCAGCGTCTGCTGCATCAGCACACTGCCCCTGTGTGTCTTCTCCTGGCTTCTAAGGACACCAGTCATTGGATTCAGGGCCCAGCCTACTACCCAGAATGATATCATCTCGAAACCCTCAACTTATTACATCCACAAAGACCCTATCTCCGGGGCGCCTGGGTGGCGCAGTCGGTTAAGCGTCCGACTTCAGCTCAGGTCACGATCTCGCGGCCCGTGGGTTCGAGCCCCGCGTCAGGCTCTGGGCTGATGGCTCAGAGCCTGGAGCCTGTTTCCGATTCTGTGTCTCCCTCTCTCTCTGCCCCTCCCCCGTTCATGCTCTGTCTCTCTCTGTCTCAAAAATAAATAAACGTTAAAAAAAAAAAAAATTAAAAAAAAAAAAAAGACCCTATCTCCAAATAAGGTCACGTTCACAGGTTCTGAGTGATCGTACCTTTCAGGAGACTACTATTCAACCCACTGCACCCACTATGATGATCCAGCAGAAACCTGAGACAAGGATAGAGCAGAAGATCCTGATGTAGGTGCTCAGGCTCCGCTGGGAGGGGGACAGAGGTCTGATGGTCACTGACTGCAGAAGTGTTGTGACCCCTCAGATGCTCTAAACAAGGAAAGAAAGACTCCCCTGACCTTAGGTACATTCCTGGAAAATTCAAGGTGTGTCAAACTGCAAAGAGGCTTCTCCACCTTGCTGGAAAGGGAGCCAGCCCCGCTCCAGTCATGAGAGCAGCCACCCTACATCACAGGGTCTGGCAGCCCATCTGAAATGTGATGCATCAGAATCCTGCCCTCCTGCAGCCCCTACTTGGCCACACATGCCCCATGTGACATCTGGTGCCCAATGCCAGGACCGGGCCTGACACCCCACAAAGTCACACGCAAAATGAACACACCAACCTCACCAAACAGGATGCAAGGTGGGGTGGTCCCTGCCCTCGGGAGGCTCACACTTGGCTGGTACTCTGGGACAAAGCTGTGGTGAATGCTCCCAGTTGGCCCAGAGGTCTATGCCAGCAGAAGAGATGGTCAGAAAGTGAACCTAGAGGCGCCTGGGTGGCGCAGTCGGTTAAGCGTCCGACTTCGGCCAGGTCACGATCTCGCGGTCCGTGGGTTCGAGCCCCGCGTCAGGCTCTGGGCTGATGGCTCAGAGCCTGGAGCCTGTTTCCGATTCTGTGTCTCCCTCTCTCTCTGCCCCTCCCCCGTTCATGCTCTGTCTCTCTCTGTCCCAAAAATGGATAAACGTTGAAAAAAAAATTAAAAAAAAAAAAAAAAAAAAAAAAAAAAAAGAAAGTGAACCTATGTTATCTGAGGTCTGACCAATACCTGGAGCAGCCTCTCAGAGCCAGGACACAAGACCCCAAAGGAAAGTAGTGAGTCCCTGTGGACTGTGAGAAGCCACTCTGTGCAACTCCCTCATTTTACCAAGGCACCAAGGCTCACAGCCACCGGGTCACAGCCTGGCCCTGTTCCCTGCACCCCTCTGAGCAACAGAGGACTGAGGGGCTGGTGGCTACCATCACCACCTTCCCCACAGCTCTTCAGGCGCTCAGGAGTTTCAAATGTATTTTTTTAATAAGAAAAAACTGCAGGTCCAGCCACATGGGCTGTCCCAGCATCTACTCACCCCTCCAACCGGGGGGGGTGGGGGGGACGGACGGACAAAACTGTGGTAGCCTCCTGTGACTGTGCTCACAGACCTCTGCCCTGCCATGCAGAGAACAAAACACCCACAATTACAGGTGACACCATGTAACCATAGCAACCCTAGAGGCAGGTGGCAAAGGAGCACGAGGTGTTACAAGTCCCTAAACCCCAAAAACGACTTGAAATTCGGTAACATGAAAACCTTACACAAGACCTCTGCTCTGGCCTTGCTTGGCAGCCTGGCAGAAGGTGACAGCAATAGCACTGGAGAGCCCTACCAGCCCAGCCCAGCTCTCTGCTGACAACAGGCCCCAAGGGGACCGCCGTCAATGATCTCAGGTGAGCAGTGGTGGAGCAGACACCTGCCGACCCTCTGCCGCAACCAGGAGCCCCCTCCAGAGCCCCTGGCCGCGGACACAGGGCTGCAGAGTGAGCCCTGCCGTGCCCTCCCTTCCACTTCCTGCAGAAATATCCCCGGTACCACTAAGTGGAGCGGGATTCAGAGGGCAGAAAGGAAGACGTGTCACATCAAACTCCCTCTCAGCCCCTCAGTGAGAACCACTTGCCTCAAAGGTAACGAAGTCGTCGAACTCATCGGGGCAGGCGGGCGGCTCCTCGTCCTGGGCAGGTGCAACCCCGCACAGCTGGCCATCAGACTCTGCAGGAGAGAAGACCCAGTACTCAGCAGGAAGCCTAGACCAGCCCCAGAGGCCATGGGGGAAGGCGCCATAGGGGTGAAGGCGAGCCCTGCTTGGGACAGCCAGTGAGAAGCCCAGGGGAGAAAGCAGCATGGTTACGACGGGGAAGCACATGCCCCCTCCCCCCAGAGAGGTGGTGTAGAGGCAGAATGATAAAACGTTTGTTTCTTTAGACCCCCAACAGCACTGCAAAAGAGAAGGAGCAAGATCTCAAGCCCATGACACTGTTCACGGGCTTTAAAAAGTATCAGGTACCAGATTTAAATTTTTTAAAACTGTGTGTGTGTTTGGGGCCATGTAGGTGTGATGGAACTATACCAAAATAGCATCTTGCACTCGGTGTTGGGCTCGCTGGCAGTTTTTATTGCCTTCATTTTCGCTGAACTTTTTTTTTTTTAATTTTTTTTTCAACGTTTTTTATTTATTTTTGGGACAGAGAGAGACAGAGCATGAACGGGGGAGGGGCAGAGAGAGAGGGAGACACAGAATCGGAAACAGGCTCCAGGCTCCGAGCCATCAGCCCAGAGCCCGACACGGGGCTCGAACTCACGGACCGCGAGATCGTGACCTGGCGGAAGTCGGCTGCTTAACCGACTGCGCCACCCAGGCGCCCCTCTGAACTTTATCTTTAGCAATAAATGTCTTATCTCATAATAAGGAAAATTTTAAATCCAAAATAAAGGGGTGAGTGGACACACCAACATACCGGGAGGTGAGCGCAAACTCCATGGGGTAGAATCCCCTGCGTTCCAGACCCTTGCACACCTCACCCCATATACCTCTTCATCTAGCTGTTCCTTTGTAACCTTGTGAGTAAACTGCTAATGGTAAGTAAAGTGTTTCCCTGGGTTCTATGAGCCATTATAGCAAATTATCACACCTGGGGGAGGGGTACTGAGGACCCCGGATTCATTGTCAGGTCAGAGAGAAGTGTGGGTGGCCCAGGAGGGTGAAGTGGGGTCTTCACGAACTCTGACAGTTGGTGTCAGAGCAAATTAAATTGTGGGACACCCAGCTGGTGTCCCTAGAGAACTGGAGATCTCAGAGAACTGGAGAATCACTTAGTGAGGAAATCCCACATACTTGGTGTCAGTGTTATGAACAGAACACAGATCATAATAGGAATTACTTATTTAAAATACATCACTTAGGAGCGCCTGGGTGGCTCAGTTGGTTAAGTGTCCGACTCTTGATTCTGGCTCAGGTCATGATCTCACGATCTGTGAGATTGAGCCCCGTGTCAGGCTCTGTGCTGATAGCGCGGAGCCTGCTTGGGATTCATATTCTCTCTCTCTCTCTCTCTCTCTCTCAAAATACATAAGTAAACTTAAAAAAAATATTTTAAGTACATAAGTTATTTAATATATCTCACATGATCTAACGTAACATCAGTCCCTTATTTATCTTTTGAAGTAAGCTCTATGCCCAGCATGGGGCTCAAACTTGCAACCCCAAGATCAAGAGTCACAAGCCCTTCCAACAGAGCCAGCCAGTCGCCCCCAGAGGACAACTTTGCCAATGGGACCACATGGAGAGAATGCTGCTAGCCATCCCCATGTCCTCCAGCCGGGCTCTGAAGACTCAGTGGTTTGACGTTACCGCAAGAGCCCTGGTAAGCAGGGAAGGGAGAACAGATACTGAAGGGCCCTTCACCACACGGCAACGGCAGGACCCACAGCCATTCTGTCCTGTCTCTAAATGACTCTCTTGGGTTGCTTGAGTAGCTCAGTCAGTTAAGCATCCGACTTCAGCTCACATCATGATGTCACAGTTCGTGGGTTCGAGCCCCGCGTCCAGCTCTGTGCTGACAGCTCAGAGCCTGGAGCCTGCTTAGGATTCTATGTCGTCCTCTCTCTCGGCCCATCCCCTGCTCACGCTCTGTCTCCCTCCCTCTCTCTCTCTCTCTCTCTCTGTCTCTGTCTCAAAAATAAACATTAATTTTTTTTAATAAAGGACTCTCAATTTAAACAGAATAATGCTTTCCCTTAACAACAGTGTAAATTGAAATATTTATGTATCACGCAATTATGAGATGCCTTTGTCAACTCAAAGCTACTTTGCAGTACTGATCAAAGCCCTTATGCCAAAAAAAACCTCCTATGTGGCCTTTAAGAATCACGGGCACTTTTGTTGCTGTTGTTTCGCACCATTTTCCCCAGCAGTGTGGTTAAGTATCCCAGCGGGGCGGATGGCAGCAGGCAAGGAGGCGCAAGGGAGCCCACACGCCGGGGCCCCTGTACTGGGAGGTGGGGTCTCTGGTGCAGGTGACGCGGTGAAGGTAGCTGTGGACACAAGTTTGGGGTTTCTGGGGCAGGGGGTGGAGGGCCCCAATCACCCCCGTGCACGTGTCTTTGTAAAAAGCTACGCTGTCTTTGGCCTATGTCCCCTCTCAGATGTTAAGTCTTCCCTGCCCTCCGAAGCCTGAAACCCAAAATTCAAAGCTCTCAAAACACAACCGATGGTTCTAGATGTGGTGGATTGTGCTCAGCCTCCAGAGGTGGACAAATGGTCTTGCCCCACACTGTGGAGAGGGGGCGTGGGGACAAAGCTAGTGCTGCCATATTCCTCATGGGAACTAAGTATGATTGTTCTGTAAGTTTTCTCCATGTGAATTCAAACAATTTTCAGTTAAGTGGACATTTTTAATGTGCATTCATCCTACTCTTCCAGAGCTTGGGGGAGGGCGTAGCCAGTGTAATGGCCTATTTGTAGCAATCTGCAGCGCCCCACCCCCCCGCCCCGACTCATTCTATTCCTGAAATAAGGCAGGTCTGTGGTATGACAGTGAAAATCTCCCTGTGCTTCACTGCAAACTGGGTCAACACACCGTGTCCCTTGCTGTGTCGCCCCTGGGTGCAGAAGAGGCCCGCCGGCCAAGTCAGGCCACCCGCACGCTGGAGGAGCACCGGAGACAGCTCCATGGAATGTGGGTCTGTGATCACATGCTGCACCCTCCCAAATGCTATCACGTCACAACTTCAAAATCAGCTTTGACTTGCTTTCATTATGATTTTATTTTCAGTCTTCTTTCCTAATGAAACTTAAAAGATGAAGTCAAACTACAGAGAAAAGAAAAACAAAGCCTGAGTCCCTGATACCACCTGGCAGTACGTCCGATGCAGGTGGGGCATCCCCACCAACACGGCCTCCCCTGAGCCCACATGGGCTGTGGACACCTGGAGGCCCAGCGCCTCACGCCCACTCTAGGATGTGGTCCCCGTGAGCTGGCACTGAGCCCAGGGGCCAGTCACTCACCCACCCACCCTGTGGGGAAGTCCAAGTCCTCCCTCGTCGCCCACAGCCTGGCCGTGTCCCCAGTGCCTTCACCTCCACCTTTTGACCCCGCCTGCCCAACCTGGCCACGGTGGCCTCCCTGCAGCCCCCAAACACGCCAACGCGCCGTACTCAGGCACCCCCACCCCTGCTTCACCCTCCTCCTGTAGCTGCTGTGCCTCGCTGTCTGCGGGCTGTCCTCTGCTGGAAAGCCAGCTCCCAGGGGCAGGGGACACTGTTCTTCCACGTGGGCTGTGTCCCTGGAGCCTAGATCAGTCCGGCTCGATGATATCTGTACCCGCACTCCTCACGGGCCTCAGCCGTGCCTCCCTTGGCTGTGGCCCTCACGCCGCCCGCTTCAAGCTCTCGTCGCCACAATTCCCCTCAGCCCAGCCTCTGGCCAGAGCCCCTCTGCCATGCACCCTGGCAGCAGAATGCGCCCCCACGGCCCACCACCTCACTTCGGGAGCAGGGGTCTGCTCTGTGCAGGCTAAATTCCAGGCAGGGGGACATCACCTGCAATGTGGCATCGCATTGAGACCAAGCCTCGCCCTCTGGGGACGCTTCTATTCCAGAATGTTCTCGCCAAAGGAAAACACACAGCACTATATTTCCTGGAGCATGCATGCTAACTCTGGGACTGACTGGGAGGTTTTTGTTTTTAATTAAACCAAAGTGGAACTATTACCAGCAAGAATGAGAAAATACTGAGACTCAAACAATTCCTGTGGGTGCTCTGTGTGGTGCGTGGGCCGGCCTGAGGCAGGACTTCGCTGTGGTATCCTGACTTAGAAGCTCAGAGCAGCGAGGCACTGCTCCTAGGTTCAAAAGGCAGTGCAGCTGCAGCACTGGACAGACAGAACGCAGCTGGCCAGGTCCCATGAGGGTGGGGAGGGACCAGGTATCCCTGGTCAGGGGAGCCAAGAGAGGGGGCCCCAGGGGAGAGCGGGCTAGAGCAACTCCAGCCAGCTCCTCTCAGGCACAGCCCAGGACCCTCCCAGGGCCTCACCTCAGGCTCCCCTCTGCCAGCTCCTGTGACAGACACAGGGGGACAGCCCACACAAAGGCAAGCAGGAGGGAGGAGGGGTGGCAGGTGCAGGCAGAGGCCCTGTCTCAATGAGTCAGGGTGAGGTCAGGACTCAAGGACACAGGCCACTTCTCACACCACACTGATACCCATGTGCTCCTTGAGTCACTCAACTTCAAGACACATGCAACCCACGAGACGGCCCCACGGGGCAATAGCCAGCAGCCCCTCCTTCTCTGCAGATAAAGAATCAGCCTGTGCAGGGATGGCTCTTCTCCCCTGCCAGGCGTCAGCGGGTCACAAGTTTTCCAGGAGCGCTTGCTGACTCCCAGGTCATGACCCTCCAGGAACTCCTCCAGCCAAGCTCCATTTTGCATGAACTGTGCCTATTAGAGCAGACCAGCCACCATGCCCACAGAATCCTGGACTGTGGCTGAGAGAGGGCCTCAGAGCCACACGGACAGCACCGGCCACCTGGCTGGCTGCCACACTGGGTTCTTTCCTGCCCAGACCCACGGGACCAGCTGCCACTGCTGTTCCCAGCCCTGACTCTTCAGAGGAATCTGTGTTGCTCAATCCCCTAGACCCAAGGAAGCCCATGGATGCTGCTGTGGCTGTGCCATCAGTAAGCCCACACATCAAGCTTCCCACCTGACAGGCGTGACCAGCACGCTGTGCATCTGCGGTCACCCAGGGAGATGGGTTCCTGTCTGTGACGGACAGTGGTCACGACAAACCTAGGGGGCACACGTCATCACTCCTGGGGCCGGAGAACGGAACGGCGCTGACAGGCTGAGGCAGCACAAGGCAGTCCTCACACCCTTAGCCTGTCATCCTTGTCCCTCTACACAGTGTTTCTAAGTAGTTCCTGTGAATTCCTGGATTCTAGAATTTTCTTCCAACATCCTGCATAGTACTTGAGGATTTTAGCATTAGCTTCTCCACCTTCCCTCTCCTAACCTTCCAAAATGGTTAAGTCCCAGTCATTGGTTACATAAACGGTTAATCTGTTTAATTACTATGACTGTGTAAAACGGCATTCATTGCCCAGCCACGCAGTATTCTAGAAGCACGTTTTCCATCTTTTTAGGCTTCTTGGTTTTCCCGGCAATGTTAACTGCTTTCTGGGGACTTAGGCTTGGCCTCTGTACATCTGTCGCCTTCTTACCCCCAAACCATCAGGCAAAGCAGTGAAGCCTTCTCCACTGACCTACCGGTTCTGAGCTCCTCAGACTCCATCACCATCAAACCAGCACGAGGGTGAAATAAAGCCATCTAAAACTAATGATGCCACCACGTTTGTGAGACGTGCGTCTCCTCCCTGTGACACCGAGATCAAACAGACAAACACAGGAAGTCTCAACTGTACACGCATGAGCCCGTGTACTCTGGTCAGAGGGTAAGTATTCCACCAAGCACACACACAACACGTGTGAGACCCGGCTGTGTGGCACACCACGAGATAAACTCAACAAGGAACAGAGTGAAGAGAGAAGCACGCCTGGATGGCTCAGTCGGTTAAGCACCCGACTTTGGCTCAGGTCATGATCCTGTGGTTTGTGGGTTCGAGCC